GCTGATATAAAATTATTATTTACCCAATAACCGGAAATGTACATTGAAATAATTTTACGATCGTCACCAGATCATAGTTAAGTTTTATAAAGTGCTGTTATCACAAATAGTTCTCAAACGCGTCTTACAATAAACATTATAAAAACACATAAGGTAAAACGATCACAAATATTGAAAATGATATATAAATGGACACAAAGATAGTGGAAGTTAATACTGGTCTGACGCCAAAAGGGGGTTAAAATGGAGGAATCAATTTTTCGTAATCCTAGATCAGTGCTTATGTGGAGACTTAACCTCTCCCCCAAATTCTTAAACCTAACCCTAATGCTTAGCCTAAACCTAACCTACAATCTCGCCCACAATCACGTGCCCTAACCGTATTTACATCTCAACGACCTTGACAAAAAATTGAGCTGGCCTTAACAAATAAATCTAGCCCTAGTCGGGGTCGAGTTTGTGTGTTTACTGTTATTAGTGATAGCAACATGTTTCCTCTCAATGGTACTAATTCTATAATTTAACATCAGTAGTCTGAGACCAGTCGGTGTTTTTACAGCGATTAGTACTAGATGCTATTAACTCTATAATGGATACTTGTCTTTCAACTCTTCGCATGTGTACAACCATTAGTATCTAGAATTGTCTGTATGGTTTGACTAATTCTAGTTTTAAATAGTTAACAATTAACGTACTTTACGAATTTGTTTTCTATATTTATTTATTTAATTTTAAAACATAAACATAAAACTACATTACAAAGTTTCGCCATCTCGGTTATCTTTCATCGTTTCTGATTCTATGTACTAATTAAATCAGGATCGTTATTCGGGTACCAGCAAACAATTAGAGAGAGAGAGAGAGAGAGAGAGAGAGAGAGAGATATGGTTCAAATTTATTTCAATAATTCGCTTCCGGGTAGGGGTCTTTAGCAGTGGCGGAAAACCGGGGGACCCGGAGAGAGCCCACGATGTTGGACAGGCGACCGTACTTTGTGTCACATGCAAGCGTTAACCATTCGGCCATCCAACTCCCCAGTACAATATGAGATAGGTGGTCGAATAATCACAATAAAATTATGTTAACTAACGTAAATTCATCAAGTCTTTCTTTCCCAAGCATAACATCAGTCTCGTGCTTTATCCTACACAGGAAAACCTTCTGTGAAAGCGGACGGTTGTGTGTTGGTGTGATTCGGTTCGTTCAATGACAATCTATTGTTTAGACTGTTTCGTGGTGTGGGATAAGATGTGTTTCCTCTGACATGCACTTTCATGTCATCTCTGTTTATATACCTATACATATCATAACAAATATCATTTTACTATATACCACATGCCATAACTAAGAGCGGATCCATGGATATGAGTGGGGACGCACGGGCTTCGAAGCCACATGCTGCGAGCGCTGAAGGCGCGAAGCGCATGACGGGGGATCCGGGTGGCTGGCCATTTCCAGTGATCTGAGACAAGAATCCGGTTCTAAAGTGCGCCCCCTGGATCCAGATAGCAGAGGGGAGTGCACCGGATACGTAGATCCCCCCTTGATAACCATGTATTATATGCGTCATGCCAGCCATAACCAACTGTTTATACGTCACAGATTGGAATATATATAGTCCAGAAATAAAGACAGTTTGAAAATTGATAGTCACGGGTTTGTCAGATACTCATTGTGTCGGGGGGTGGGGAGGGGGTGGCCGAATGGTTAGCACGTGCGCGCTGTATCACGAGGCCTGTCAATCATTGAGTCAACTGGCGTGGTTTCGAATTCCCCGGTTGTATGTGACAAGGAGTAGGCTCACCTGTCCAACCTCGTGAGTTTTCTCCGGGTCCTCCGGTTCCCTCCCACTGCTAAAGACCCCTTCGCGCAAGCGAATTATTGAAATAAAATTAAACTATATGTTAGTCCAGAAATGACCTATAGTCTGTGTCGAGTTGACGTGAAACCCCATTTCTCTCTCCCTCTCTCTCTCTCTCACACACACACACACACTCAACTTGATAACTCCAATAATCCAAGGTTTATCTTATTCGAAGATCTTTTAGATCATAGCATTGCTTGCAGGATGAAATCCACGAAATGTTAACTAACCTATAGTCTAATTATGTTACAGAATAAATTAAATCTGATTAAATATTTTAATTCGTTTCGCTGTTTTTATTGTTTAAAATTTGTTTTACCTGTCTTCACTATGGTTCAGTTTTATTTTAATAATTTCTTTGTACGTAGGCGTCGTTGGGGGGGGGGGGGGAACCGGGAGACCCCTTAGACCCGGAGAAACCCAACGATATTGGACAGGAGACCATATTCCTTGTACAAGCGGCAAATCGAAACCATCCCACTTGCCTCATTGACAGACCTTATGATATAAAGCCCAGGTGTTAAACCATTCGCCCCCCACCCACCCACGATCACCGTAGTGGAGGTCATCATAATTCACAAGTATATTCATTTTTCGTTACTACAATAGAAGCGAGAGCTCCACGATTGACACATCTTTGCTATATCCACTGGGCTGGTTTCTCGAAAAAATTCTAAACATTATCACATGTTTTTCATTCAAACATTTCTGTTACTGTCGTCTACATAAAAACAAAAACCATTATAAGTTTTTTTCTTTGATTTTTCTACCACTTTAGGAACGGTATTAAAGGACCCGATACAAGTTTTTGTTTGTAAAAATAAATCGCTTGTTTTCACAAGTACAAATTTATTCCGATCCCCCAGTTTCCTGTCTGAAAGGAAACGGAAGATTGTTCTTCGTCAACGGCGGGATATTGACGATGGCATTGATGTTTGTTTATGGGGTAATTGTAGAGAAATTGACCATGCCCCTTTATGTATACTCACGTGTAAGAACGTAATCTATCGGTTAGGTTTCCTTTTAGAAATAAAAACTAAAAGGTCTTGCAAACAATCGAAAACACATTAGATGTCAACTAGGTTTATTTCCTATCTGATCTTTTTACTGTACTAGAACAATACGTTATGAAGAGAGAGAGAGGGGGGAGAGAAGGAGAGGGAGGGGGGGGGAGTAACATCCAGTCGAAACAAACTAGGCCATTTCTGGAGGACCCTGAGAAATTCCGCGAGGTTGGACAGGCGGGTAATTGAGAGTTTCTGTACTGTACAATAACAATACGCCATGACGAAATACCAGACTACACCAATTCATCCCACCCCACCCCACCCCACCCTATCTCATATCATCTCATCTCATCTCATCTCATCTCATCTCATCCCACCCCACCCCATCCCATCCCATCCCATCCCATCCCATCTCATCTCCCAACTTAAATCTCACGTGTTACTCATCAGGTGGTTGTTATTATTAATGGGGCAGGGTCAGAATAGGAAGAGAGGGTTTGTATGTGGGTTGTCTTTCTTCTACACACCTCAGCGCGAGATCATATTATTCAAATAAAAATGCTGTTAGTCCTGAAATTACCTTTATAATATCGAGTAGACGTTAAACCCATTCTTCATTGTTTGAGTATGGGCGTGGTCACTTGTTCAACCTCATGGGTTGTCTTTGGTTTCGTCTCACTGCTAGAGACTCCTACGTGCAAGCGAATTATTGAAATAAAACTGAACCATATGTTAGTCCCAAAACGACCCAATTTATGTCGAGTGGACATTAAACACGAATAGCCCCCGACCCCACCCCCTCCACCCATCTCTCTCTCTCTCTCTCTCTCTCTCTCTCTCTCGCTCTCTCTCTCTGTTATGCATGACCTGCCGCGTGCACCGTATGCAGCCTTTTACTTTAAGAACACTAACAACAACTCAGAAGAAACGCCCTAAAGACAGAAATACCCCAATCATCCAGAGCAACTGGTTCTAATTTACCTCACAGTCTACACCCCACCTTTAGGGCGGAAATAAACGAGATGTGTCGACCTATATTATATGATAAGGTTAAATAGTTAGTCCTGTACATCATCCTATTCTGTAACAATAATACACGAGGTCAGACGATCAGTAAAGATCAGATATATATTATTATTAACAACTGGAGGAAGGTGATATGTTACACAATATGGTATCATCATGTTATTATCTTCAAAAAATATTAAACATACATTATGACGTCAAATTAATAATGACGTCATTGTATTAATCATATTAAACATACATTATGCAAGAGCTAAATCTGCTTATTGCAGGTCTTTATTTAGGCTTCAGGGCCCTGTTTCACGAAATTTTAACTAAGATCAAATCCAAATTTTAATCATTTGATTGGATAATATTAGATTGATTTTAGTGCTTAGCCAATCAAAACTAAAGTATCTACTAAAATTCGGAATTTATCTTTAATTAAAATTTCGTGAAACAGGGCCCAGATGTTATAGAAATTATTAACTAGACCCTTATTTAAATGACAAGCTCAAAATCAACTCTGTAGACACTCGGGTGGCTTGGATACAGCTTGGATTTAAACTGTCGTCCATTTAAAATAAAATCAAGAAATGGCCGACTAAGTTAACATTTATTGTTAGTCACTGACGTCAATACCGGAAACTGGTGATGAAAGGCCTACCAAACGAGGGCACCATAGCCATTGAGATTGTTACTTGATAATCGAGAATATGTGGGTGGAGTTATCGTCTGTCAATCAAACGATCGGCAATTCTCGTAGACGGCGCGGATACAGTTGATGCCTATTTCTAGTACCAAACTTCCAACAGTGACAACTCCGTTCAAAAAAAAAGTAATTTGACTTAAATTTTCAATATTTTCTCTTTTTTTTTATCATCTACATTTGTATTTTTGAATTATTATAGCAAGAATGACCAACTCTTTATTAAACTCTTACTAATGTATCTTTAAATATAATTTGTTTTGAGCTTATTTATTCATTTTATCTTTGATATCTTAAGACTAGCTCACAACCGGACGTACGTGCTACTACGGGCAGTCTACGGTGAAAATTTTAGTAAACCCACCCGTGAGACTTATGCGTCACTTGCGTGTGTTCGGCACCGTAGAAGACTTACCTTAAATACTTTTGGCCTTGCACAAACACAATTTTCACCCGGTTTCTTGCAGTTGTTCTGCGAGCTACCAAACCCGACGTTCGTTTGACCAGAGATATGAAATAGATATCCTTTGAATCAAGGGATATCAAAGATATATATTAAGATACGATTTGGCATAGAATAAGACATTTAAAGTTTGAAAACGTTATATTTGGCCGGAAACCTATAGCGCAACTGTAACCATTATATATTCCAAGAAGCAACAAATTAAACAGATGCTTGGTCCTGGAACTCACAGACCTGTTTCACGACAAGTGCCATGACAGAATGAGCCCTAACAGAACTTCAAATGAAATATGCCATGTGTTACATCTATTAAAAAGCGGTTTAAAAAAGCATTTTCTCCCAGTCTACGCCCTGATTTTAATTCTCAATTATTGTATAATCTGGAATATTTGTACCGTTTTTCAGTAGACCCTCAGAGTATTTTTTTAAGTAAACTGTTTTTTCACTATGTATCAGATTTCTATCCTTTCACACAAACTCACTGTAAACATGTAATTTCCCCTGATGTAACTTTAAAGTGGGTGGCCGAGAGATCTAACGTGTGCACTTTTTGTAAAATAAAATGTTCAAATGAAATGAAATGGGGTTTAACGTCCTACTGTTCTGCTCCTATGCTGGGCTAATGAAGACGGGCATACGCCATACAGTGTGCTATGAGGGGAATTTTACCCGGGCAGCGGCGCTACGACCCACTCTTATATCGAATTTCAACTGCCAAGGGTGCTTTTACTTGCATACCAACATGTACACGGGTCTCGGGTTTTCGTCCCATCCGAACGACTAGACGGAGAACATTCCCGGCCAACACCGGGATCAAACCCCCTTTTAGTGAGCCACCGCGGCTAGACAGTATATGCGAATTATATTTTTAGGTTTTTCATTGAGTCAAGTGGCATGGTTTCGATCCCAGTAACAGAGTTAGAATCGCCAGCCTTATCCCGTTGATTTTCTCCGGGTCCTGTTACTACTGATGTCCCCTACTTGCAAGCGAATTATTAAATATCAAAATAACGGTTACCATATGGTAGACCCGAAATAATTTGAACGTTAAACATGTACGTAACCTTGTTTTATTTATTAAATGATTGTTAAACATACATTATGCAAGAGCTAAATCTACCTATTGTAGGTCTTTCTAATGTAGGTCTAGATAATGAGACTATGTTTTTTCGTACCGACTTTAGTAATGATGATCGAGGCTAGGCCCAAATTTCAATCACTAAATTCTCGTTTCAGAGTTGATCAATTTGACTGAAATTTTCAGCGAATTCGCTTTACATTATCTATTATCGTGAGAACTTCCAGCTCTTTATCTAATCTCCCATAATGTATCTTTGAAATATTTGTGAACAAGTGTTTGTACTGTACCTGAGAATTCTCATTAATAACAAACAGTTTGGAGATATACTATCGTCAGGGTGGAGAACCCGGACAAAAAGATCGATGTTGGACAGTCGATCCTGCGTACTTCTTGTGGCATACAATCATAACATCGCACACACGACTGTATAGATGACAGATATGTGATCGGCAGCATATTGTAACATCATACTCACGGCTGTATATATGACAGATCTGTTATTTGCAGATATACCATAACATCGTACTCACGACTGTATAGATGACATACTTGTGATCGCCAGCACTTTCCATAACATCGTACTCACAACTTTATGGATGGAAGATCTGCTGTCTGCTGCATATAGTAACATCGTACTCACGCCACGCCAGTATATATGACAGACTTGTGATCGGCAGTACTTTCCATAACATTGGACTCACGACTGCATAGATGACAGACTTGTGATCTCCAGCACTTTCCGTAACATCGTACTCACAACTTTATGGGTGTAAGATCTGCTGTCTGCTGCATATCGGAATAGCGTACTCACGGCTGTATAGATGACAGTCCTGTGATATAGGCTACAGCTTAAAGAGTGATAGTTTATAATTTGGACATCCTATTAGCACATTTCCAACGTGTAAAATAAGCCGCACTGTCACTTTAAGGAGGTGGGGACGCTATGTGTTGATTGACAATAACACGTTGAAGAGATTTAGATTGATATAATGTTGTAGAAATTCCAAACTTCCAGAAGATTGACGAGTGATAAATCCGATGCTAAGAAGCCAGATGAACTAGAACAAAGTTTCAAATATCAACAAACACATGTTAGCTGTGTGCACTCATCAAACGAAATGAAATGAAATGAAATGGGGTTTAACATCCTACTGTTCTACTCCTAACCTGGGCTAATGAAGACGGGCATACGCCATACAATGTGCTATGAGGGAAATTTTGCCCGGGCAGCAGCGCTACGGTCTACTCTTATATCAAATTCCATCTGCCAAGGGATCTTTTACGTGCACGCCAAATCTGTACACGGGACCCCGGTTTTTCATCTCATTCGAACGACTAGACAGCTGTCTTTGACAGCCCCCACCCATCAAATGAGAAAACATTGGTACTAGGTGTTCTAAAGGAAATACTTTGATAGACAGAAAGTCTAGACCCTAAATCACCAAGAGTTGTCCCCCTGTGAACATTAGGGAATTGGAGAATACGCCTCTTGGCAATTGGAATTTGAAGCCTCAATACGTTCCTTGACAACTGAAATTCGAAACCCTAATTTATTTCTCGGTTGTTGGAATTAGAGAAAACACTGATTGGTCAAATATCTATCTGCAGTACATTCCTTGCCAATTGGAATTCGAAACGTTCCTTGGCAGTCGGAATTCGAAACCTTCGTCCATTTCTTGGCAGTGTGAATGGAATTCGAAACCATAATGCGTCCCCAGGCCGTTGGTACAACCCTATTAAGTGCCTTTGCAGTTGAAATGCTAAACCCTGATACCTTCTTTGGCCGTCCCACTTAGAAACCCTATTACGTTCGGGTTTTAAACCATAGTACGTCTCTTTGTAGCTGGAATTCGAAATTCTAATAGGTTCCTTGGCAGCTGGAATTCGAAACTCTACTATGTTCCTTGCCAACTGGAATTCGAAACTCTAGTACGTTCCTTGGCAGCTGAAATTCGAAACTCTATTACGTTCCTTGCCAACTGGAATTCGAAACCCTAGTACATTCCTTTGCAGCTGGAATTCGAAACTCTACTACGTTCCTTGGCAGCTGGAATTCGAAACTCTACTACGTTCCTTGCCAACTGGAATTCGAAGCCCTAGTACGTTCCTTTTGTAATTGGGTTTTAAACCCTAGTACGTTCCTCGGCAATGGGAATTCGAAACCCTAGTACGTTCCTTGGCAATTCGAAACCCTGATATATTACTTGGCTGTTGAAATTAGAAAAAGCACTGTCTGGTCAAAAGTCTACCGATGGGTACTGCACTTTAACCATTAAAGATAAAAGTCACAAAATAACAAACCCTAATAGTTTAAAGTGACCCGTTAATTCAGACTACACCCGACCATTAATTCACAAACATCAAGTATCAAATAACATTTATGCATGTGAAATCAGCTTTGATGTCGTAATATGGCTTATACATTAGAATCCATTATGTCAAATGTCATACATGGAATCCTTTATGACTCTTCACTTGTCAAAGGAGGCCAGAAATCCAAGATTTATTACAACGTATCTGTTACATTTTATATTTCCTATTTTGTTTTTTTTTAAAATTAAGGAATGCCATTAAAGTGCAGTTTTCGTGAAATTAGTGAATTTATGAGCTGTTAATCCAACTTTCATGCATCACGTGATTTCGTAATATAGTTAATGACTTTCTTTCTGATTTCCAGAAAGATGCTCGAAAACAATTACAAAAAGTGACTGCTTCATTTTAATAATACATTCTACGAAGCAATTCTTTATTTCAAAATTAAAAAAAAATCGTCATTAAATTGTAATTAACACTAAATGTGCGAGGAATCGTCCAGTCATTACGCCACAGGTACGTACGTTGATATAACAGTTTTGTTTTCATGGAAAACGAAATTTTGAACTATAAAAAACGAAGCGAAATAGGATCTGTGTTTTAATTAGATTGAAATCAACTCAAATTGATTGTTTAAAATTTCTATGATAAATGTATTCACCTACCATTTAAACTGATGACCGTCTTCCAATTATAATTATTTGAACTTATGATATACTCTTTTAGATGCTGGTCCAGATAGACATAACAATTAAACATAAATTATGACGTCACATTAATAATGACGTCATTGTATTAATCATATTAAACATACATTATGCAAGAGCTAAATCTGCCTATTTCAGGTCTTTCTTTAGGCCTGAAATGTTATCTAAATTATTAATTAGACATTTATTAACCTATCCAGACCATAATCAACTCTAGATGGCTGCGCTAGCCTGCGATCTTTAGTGGATTGTAAGCCGATTTACTGCGTAACTTTCCTTCTCGATTAAACGATTAAATGGATAATCGAGACTATGCTGTTTATCGTACTGACTTTAGTAATGATGACCGAGGCTTATGGGAAGTTCAGTCGCTTAGGGTTCATAGTGGATCAATTTGAAAGAAATTTTCAGCAAATTGCCTTTACATTATCTAGCTTTTAACTATTATAGTGAGAACTGCCAACTCGTTACCGAATCTCCCATAATGTATCTTTAAATAGTAACTAGTTCATGATAAGAATATAGTGTATTGTTCATGATAATAATATCTAGTATTTATCTCACATTATAGACACTCCTCTCAGTTAAACAATTCACACTCAATAACTGACTCGTTAGAAATAGTCAAACCTATATTAAAGAAATGAAATGAAGTGAAATGGGGTTTAACGTCCTACTGTTCTGCTCCGACTGGGCTAATGAAGACGGGCATACGCCATACAGTCCTGCATCACGGACAAGGGGGAAACACGCCGGAAATCTGGATGAACTTTCTCGGCCAATGCAGAGATCGAACACCCGACCTCCAGGCTAGTGAGCCAGCGTCTTACCCACTTAGCTACCGTGACCCACCTATATTAGAGACAATCGG